AACGGACAGTTGTATTGACTCTGTCGGTTAGTCCGGCTGCTCGGGGCTCTGACCGTTAACCGTTAACCGTTAACGCTACCTTGATGGGTTTGGTCCCCTCCGCCAGCACTTTGCCGTGCATCTCCTCCATGGCCAGGCAGGCCTGAGACGACTTGGAGAACTTGACATAGCAGATTCCTTTGGACTCCTTGGTCTGCTTGTCTTTGACCACCCAGACCCCCTGGATGTCCCCGAACACGGAGAAGCTCTCCCGCAGCTCCTCCTCGGTGATGGACCGGCTGGTGACCACGAACAGGCGGCTGTTGGGAGGGTCGTCGAGGTTCTCGGTTTGTTTAGCAGGGTACTCCTCCATCTTTGCTTCCGTCGAGACTGCCGCACAGCCGTTGGTGCTCCTCGGAACTTCCTGTTTCTCCCGGAAGCAGTCAAACTCCAGAGATTATTATTATTTTTAATACAATAAAACAAAAAACATAGAGAAACATAACTTACATCTTCTCGTAAGGACTATACATTTTCGTACAATGAAAAGCTGTGAAATTGAAAAAGAGTCACAAAGAAAAAATACAAATAAAAACAAAAACAAAACTGGGGTTTTTATAAGGTGCAAGTACAACAAAAACAGTAACACGTCATTTTATAGATCACCAGGCATACAATTAAATTAACAAAGACCCTAGAGAGGAGCAAAGTCTAAGGCATAAATCAAATAAGCAAGAAACGAGACATATCTCCACAGATCTTTCTGGCTATTTTGCTGGAGTACAATTTTTTAAGAGACAGGAAAAATAATTTGAAATCATTTATAAACCAGTCAAAGGAGGGTTTGCTATTTCTCCATTTACTACAATGAATATGATATTTACCCATTAGAATGATCATATTTATCATATCAGAGATATTAGATTTCAAATTATCTATGTAAAGGAATATATGAGAAATATCAAAATCTGGAATGACACTTATTTTAAGTAATAACCAGTTTCTTATTTCTAACTCCAGAGATGCAGCTGTTCAATAAAATGGAGGATTAAAATTTATTTTTGTGACGGCCTTTGATATTATCAAACTTCATGTATCATTATATTATATTACATTATATTATATTATATTACATTACATTACATCGTATTGTATGCACATAACTTTTCACAACTCTTCTACTTTATGGAATAAGAGATATATATGGGCCTGCTTTACTAGAACAAATCTTTATTCCATAAAGATTGAAATAAATGATCTGTAGCTGATGAACAATGGAAAATATTCCCTGGGAGACAAAACAAAAACACATCTTAAACAGTTTGATAAAAAAATCAACTAATAAACTAAGAACTGTATCTATAACTTTACCTGCACCCTCCAAAAGGAAAGAAACACATTTCAAAACCATATATATATAACTATATATGATACGTTTTCATTTTGTGAAAATGATAATGAAACCTCAGATCATATATTTTTCTCATATAGTGTAATAAACACATTTTGGCTTGATAATCCGACATGGATAAACAAAATATCTCATCATTGTCAGCTTCTATCTCTAGAGATAATATTACATTTGGTATGATCCTAAAAAACAAAAATGATGAACTCTGTTGAAATGTAATTATATGTCTGGCAAAATGTTTCATACCTAAGAACATCCTGAAATCTTCCCCCAACTTATTTTGTTTTTTAATGAATCTAAACACATAAAATCTTTAAAACTGATAAGAGGAATAAAAGCAGATAAATTTATATTTCCACTTGTATGTTAGTTATCATTATTATTATTAGTAGTAGCCTATATTACCTTTTCCTCCTTGTGTTGTTTAATATTACTATTCCATTCAAAACATCCAGTTAAAAGCACTTTCTTTGTAATCAGTGTTCAATTTTTTAAGATATTTACATTTGTTTCCTATACTACTGTTCACATTGGCAATTTCTTTGTACATATCTGAACTTAATGTATGTGAATGCTGCCATACTTACATATTTTCATCAAAAATCATTCAATTTATTTCAATTAAAATCATTGTGAAATAGTGTAAAATTGTAAAGGCCCTGCATCTGTATGAAAATCTGTGTACCTTCATTTTGTATTTTGGTTTTTATTTCATTTTTGTTTTCACCCTTCATTATTTTTTATTTATGCCTTTCAGTTTAGCTCAGTTATAAAAATATTGTAACCTGTGTTTAAATGACATATGATTGTAAATAAAGTTCTAAACAAATGAATTACATTAAATCAAATTATATTAAATTAAATTGAATTAAACTGAATGAAATTAAATGAAATTACATTAAATGCGCTGACGAGTTTCTCTACTCTCATCTCGGCACAGTCTAGTTGTGTAAATTCCCACCGTTGTGAAGCTGTCAGCAGAGCTGTGATCGTTTACTGCCACCTACTGTTCGGGAGGTGTAAAGACACTCCTCAGCTCTCTGTTACAAAAGGATGCTGCAGTGAGATTTTGTAACTCCTGATAAAATAAATAAAAATATTTCACCGGAATATCTGAACAGCAGGTTCATTAGACTTGATGCAGATTATTTCACAGAAGGTTACAGGACAGATGACACTTTAAAATTATACTTTCACTTTACCTTTATACTTTACTCAGTGTTTTACAAACTGTTTACACCTTCCGCATATTTATTACACCATTCACTACATCCCTGTTTGTATTGAGTTCATTCATTTGCAGATACTGTTCACCACAAATATATATTTGGGTAAATTAAGGGTGATTGTGACAAAAGGTCAAATTGCAATACAGAAGATGAGGAGAATGACATAGGCTTTAGTTTCCATCATAAGGTCCTAACACAGTCATAGTTAATATACTGCACAAACCTTTGATGGAAACATGATTATGATGTACTACTGCTACAACATAAGTAAAATCTGTTTATATCATGAGTAATTCTTTTAAATTAAGCTCTTCTTGTTTTGTCCCATTCATCCAAACACACTTTGGGTGATTGGTACAGGGCTAAAAGGCTTTGAAAAATCAACCTTGCCACAGAGAGCCAGTGTGTGTGCTCTATATGCTCTGGATTTGTGCTCCCCACCCTCTTCATGTGTGCAGAATCAACCAGAAAAATGTTTATGGAGTAGCTGGATTTTGCTCTTAGTGCCAGTCTAAATCAAAGGATGTGTTCATCAGACTGTGTGTGGGGCTGTAGGGCACAGTTTTTAGTTAATTTTAGACCTGAAGCCTGTTTTTACTGAGTGAAATGTATTCAATAAATTTCAGACTGAAAGCATTTATTACCACAATTAATTGTGTTCATTAGTTTTTAAATCTCAGGCATTTTTGTTCAAAGAAATTAAATGGGTTAGGGTTAGGGTTAGGGTTAGGGGGTTAGGGGGTTAGGGTTAACCCTAACATTAAAGTATGAAATAAGATGTGCAATAAATACACTTACACTAGTCTAAACCAGTGATTACATGACCTGTCCCAGTCACCCAGAGTGTATGTCACACCTCCTTGGAATATGATATGACGCTCTGTCCTCCTCAGACACACAGGTAACATTGTCAGTATTACAGAGGTATCATTTGTTGGGCTTATTGTTTGAATTTATGGCAAAACAAGCTTACATGCTTTCCTCTTTTATATTCTTATTAATGAGCAGTGGGAGGAGTTTGACATTCAAGATTTCCATTGCCAACTACTCTGTAACTGTTGTGCATAATATGATAATAAAGGACATTAAACTTTAAAATTAGTCGTGTAATATGCCTAAAAAAATATAATATTAAGATAATGTCTCATGTATAAAAACATTAATATTCTAGTTATATACTGTATTAAGTGTACTATAGCCTACGTCACTGAGGCCTAACACAGGCTACATAAGGCCGTCAGCTGATGATATGACGTCAGAGGCTTGTGACTTGTTTGAAGGGTCTCAGGAATGAGCTACGTATATGTGTGCCACCATATGCCCTCTGTGTGTTGTGTTCAGTGCTGAGTGACCCTGGTGAGGACAGATATGTAGATTATAGTAGTTTTAATGGGGTTGTGGCACAGATACATGGACATATGTGAATTTCGCCAAACATCTAATGAAAATACGACTGAGAGAATTAGCTTATTAGACAGATGTGGGGTTGTGGAGACATGTCCGACCAGGTCACACCTTTGTTTAATTTAGATTCTGTTTATTACTGTTTTATTTAGTACAAATGTGGTGTCTTGCTTCTGTCTGCCATTGTGAAGAACTCTGTGAAACGTGCACCAGACAGTTGCTCCATGTGTAAACTGTACAAACGTTTATTTCACTATCACATAAGCACTGTCTCACCTGTGTCATCGTGACATGCTGTCTCTTCCTGTTTAGTAACAGGGAAGTGACACAGTTTTATTAAGTTATTTTATCTAAAATATGAATTACTAAATTTCTCGACTTCATTTACCCACACATAGAAAAGCTTACATAGTGTATGAAAGCACCAGCATTACCTCTAACACATTTTATATCAAGTACAGCCAAAGGTATGTGGACATTTTCCCACATTCTTAACTCTAGGAACCGTAATATAACTGACAGCCTAGTTTGGTACAGCTAAAATGTTAGAGACTCCAGTTTGTCCTTAACAACAGTAAAGACATGTACATTTCTATGTATTAATGTGTATTAATGTGTATTAATGCATCTCCTTATAAGGCGACTCCAGCAGGTGCCTTTCGCTCCACAATGGAAGCTGGGGAATGCGGCAGGATGATGGCCCAGTTCCATTACACATTCGTCGCTTCCTTCCTTGTCCTCTCGTCTCATCTCATACGGTCATAGCGATGAATATAATGCATTATGTGTACATTTTTTAATATGAGTATTTTATCAGTGTGTGTTTGAATTCAGTTTCACCTCAAAAATGAGCGATTACTGAATAAATTTAAAGACGTGAAGTCGGGCAGGGGGACGTCTGTTTGAAATGTAACGCGGCCGGATTAAAGGGACGACGTCACGACGCAATGCCCGGCACGTGATTGGACGATGACGTCAGAAGCCGGTGCCTCTAAAGTGAAGTGACCTTCTTTGCGACCGTCAGAAACCGCTCATCGACCCAGAGGAGCAGCAGGTACCGGCGCACCGGAGAGACTCTAACCCCGCGTATTTTAATCAAAAGGTACATTTTAATATTTCCAGCTGAGCCGTTATATCCAATAGAAACTGGGTTTGTGATTCATTTATTTAAAATGATGCTGAAACACAACAGAGGTGATGAAAAGAGATGCTGGGCGGCGGAGCGCTAACGGTAGCTAGCTAACGTTAGCGGCCATGTTGGTGAATAGCTCGGCTGCTCTCTTAACGTAATCTACCAATCCCGGTATTAATGAGTAATACGGTAATTTAATGTGGCATGTAATTTAATTGTCGAAAATATTAATATTAAAGCTCGTCCTTAGTGTGTCCTGGACTCGGTGTAGGTGTTAGCTAATGCTACAGTGGGTATCCGGACGCCGACATTGAAGCATCCTTGACCGTCTGGATCCGTGACACAACCCCGGCTAACCTTGCTAGCAGGCTAGCCAGGCCAAGCTAACGATACCGGGAGAGCTCGGTGAGATGTGTCCCGGTATTGGAGGGAAATGTCGGCGTTAACAGCACAGCAGCAGCCTGCAGGGAAGCTGCTTTCACTTTGTGCGGTTTGTCCTTGGTGAGGAGGATGTGAGTCAGCCGGTGGCCATGTTAGAGGCTGGCTGAGGTAGAGTAGTGACATCTGTGCTAACTGTGCCTTCACTTCATATCAAATGATGAAGGTCCACAGTTTGTACACGTCTTGTAGTTCATTCTGATATGAGTTATAAAATGACAGTGTAGTGTAACAGCTGCAGTCCTGTTATGTCGATACCTGTCGATTATAAGTCATCATTGTGCACATAACTCAGAGTCTCTGTTTCAAATACGAGTGTTATAAATGGCTGTTGGATCCGAGCATTAAGGGTCTCAGCTGACAGTCTTCCCTCGGTGCTGCGGGTGTTCACCCGGGTCACGTTAGGACAGCCAGCCGGTGTAACGTACGTGCACGTTACTCCATTTAAATGAAGACTAAACTGTTATTTAATAACCACAGCATTAATATCTTCATGCAGGAAGCGTGCTCTGACTGTAGAGAGAAGTCAAGTTTATTTAATGATAACTTATTAGCTCGTTATGCTGCATTTATAGAGATAATATAAGAGAGGAAATGAGTATTGGCATGACACCCGTCAGTCCTCTGCCACTGTGGCGCGTATCATTGACACAACTTTAGCTAAGCACATTAATGTCGGCTGGTTTAAAGTCTCACATTAAAGCTCACCCCTCATAGCAGGATACTATTAAGACCGACCTTATTTACTCCACAAGTCTGGCAGCTCTCCCTGAGGAGTAACCCGAGCTGAGGCTGCCAGTGCTGGGGAGAGAGACCATATGACAGGGGCGGATGGAGGCCAGGCTAACGTGTCAGTTTGAAGGGTGGTGTGTGTGGAGCTGTTTCCTTGAAATGACCTCGGCATGGTGCCAGCGCACAGAGGAATGACATGCCTAGTTTACATGTACTGTAAAGAGAGCGGTGCTACAGGTACAGATAAAGTTGTCACCTCAAACGACCTTCACAAGATGGCGCCAGTCAGACTTGAGCAGTGAATTAACTTCCTGCCATAACTGTGGTCTATGAATAGAAGATGGGCGGTGACTAAAGTCACACACATTGACATCTGAAATACTACAGCTTGTAATACCTCTGACTTCTTTTCTTGTTGGTCTGCTCCTCCAGCTGATTATGGGAGACATCGCCAAGGGAAAGAAGGCTTTTGTCCAGAAGTGTGCCCAGTGCCACACAGTCGAGGAAGGAGGCAAGCACAAGGTGGGCCCCAACCTCTGGGGTCTGTTCGGACGCAAGACTGGGCAGGCAGAGGGCTACTCATACACAGACGCCAACAAGAGCAAAGGTCAGTTCTCTAGTGGTTAAATGAGGCTTTGAATAATCCTCTGCCTTGAATACAGATCAAGTGAAGAGGGGGGCGCTCAGGTCTGAAGCTGACATAAGTATATTTATCAGAGCTAGAGTGAAGGTGAAGTAACGTGGTCTTAAGAATTATTTTATGTTTATTTAATATCTTTTATTACAAAATACATAAATGACTGATGTTGTTTCATTTCTTAAAATATATTTGAAAATTACATTTGGTGATGCAGCTGATGATCACTGCCGCCATTATCATTTAATCTGTTAATTGCTTTCCTTAAAGACGAATATTAATATTTTTTTTTCTTAAGGGACTGTTTGTTATTTATGAGGGGGGAGGGGGGGAGGCATGTCAAATAACTTTAAGCTTGTGTATTTTTAAGAAAAAAAGAGATTTTGACCAAGTGGAGGGGCGTACAGATTTTAATTTCAATTTATTTTACCGCAGATTTTTTTTGCAGCCAGAAACTGTAAAAACAGAAATAATGATTGGATTTTCACTTTGCTGACGGCCCTTGGACACGTCATGTGTGATGACCGCTTACTTCAGGAAAAAACTAATTTTAACAAAGAGCATAATTATAACAAAAGCCAAATTTCTGGTGAAGGGAGAGTCGCGATTTTCCACCAGTCACTCAGGGAGCCTCAAGGAAAAATATTTGTAGCTTCGGGGAGGGTCAAAATTAAAAAAGGGAAAAAAAAAAAGACATGACTTTTACACACAGTTTTACACACAGTTTTTTTTCTTATTAATTTGTGGATTTTGTTTGTGTATTTGCAGATCAGTTTTATACTTGTAGTATATATTTCTGTCGGTGTCTCAGGGAGGCTTAAGGAAAAATATTTGGAAAAAAAGAAGTCACACCTCAGCCACCCTTCTCCTCTGTTAAATAAAGAACAGTCCCTAAATGCATCACAGATCCTGCTTGATCCTCCATCAATAGCAGCAGTTTCTTTACAGAGATGATGTTTGTGGAGCTTTGTTCACTGATGTCTGGCCTTTTATCGCTCTGTCCTGGAGCTCAGATCCTTCTCACGTGCACTGATTGAATAATTCATCACTGATCTTTCTCAGGTATTGTGTGGAACGAGAATACCTTGATGGAGTACCTGGAGAACCCCAAGAAGTACATTCCCGGAACCAAAATGATCTTCGCCGGCATCAAAAAGAAGGGAGAGCGCGCGGACCTCATCGCATACCTTAAATCAGCGACATCATGAAGTAGTCACTAAATCAGAGTATTTAATGTAATTTTAATGTATTTTGTTTGTCTGTTTATTTTTAGGCTTGCACTCGCTAAATATCCTGTTTCATGTTTAGTCATTTGCACAGAAGGTCAATTTATGTTGTCGAAGGTTAGAAAAGTGGCAGCTTTTGTGATCCAGCGAGTTCACAGCAGGTGTCACTTCCTCTTTAACGTCAGGGTGTGTCATCAAATGGCCAAACATAAAACTACTGTATGATTTTTTTTTTTTTTTCATGAATCTGTTATTTGACTCTAATGACAAGGAAATGATTTCAGATTTCTAGCTGTGATAGGTTGCCTGACCTGCCACTCATTCTGTTTTCCATGACGACATGTGTCTGGTACTTTCTGCTAGCAGAGCCATCCGCCATCAACTTCATTTTTAAAACTATTACTAAAAAACTAACCTAATATCAGAGACATCAAAGTGACACAGGGTGGAAATCTGTAGAGATTTGGTGGTGAACCGGTTCAGACTCCCAGCTTTCATGCCAACTGGAGTTTCTAACCTGCGAAGACGAGACACAGTGGAGATTTTCTGCACTGTGTCTCACCTGTCCTCATCTGTCGGTGCTCAGAAGCTACCACTTGCCATGAATGCTCTTTAAATTCCACAGACTGAACATTTGCTCCTCCTAAACTTTTGGACAAAACCTCTTGTTGCATTCAAGGACTCCTAACAGATCCTGGATGATTGGGTTACTGAAGCAGCTCCTGTTTTAACTCCCGAGTTTTTAAAACGTGCTCTGGGTGACATACTGTTATCTGCCTCAGCACAGCTAAGAACTGTGGGGTATTGATACGTACAAATGCCTTTATAAGCACCACCATGCTGAGACTCCACCAGTGTGAAATCAGCTGGCAAACAATCACCATGCCTAACAGTAATGTCGTGGAGCTTCGGTACCACACAGAGAAACTGCCGAGGGCGCCATCTGAGGTGAAGGAAGATTTTGTTATTTACCTGGTTTCACAGGCCGGAAAGAGTTTTAACTTATTTTACTGTAATCTGACTGCAGCTGTGAAATGTTGTGACAAGGCTGCTTGCTGTCGATGTATACGGCGGTACACTGAATGCACAGAAACAATATGATGGTGATGATGATGTTGTGGACAGGATGGATGAAGGATCAATTAAAACGTCCAGAAATGTAAATGTGACTGAACGTCTCTTCATTTCAACCTGTTTGGTTTTTGTGTGTTACAGTGTTGAAAGGTAAAATTCTAAATCTGATATAATCAATACTCTCATGTTTTCATAGTTAAACTACAGTCGAGCAGCTCTACACTCGTCTCTCTGCAGCTGTTGAAGTTAAACATGTTTGGAAGCGTCAACACCAAATTTTCTTTCACTTTGTGGAATATAGGCCGAAAGAACGTCAAGGAAACACTGGAAACATGTTACTGTACTGATGAAGAATAAAAATAAATGGTTCAATTCCTTAAAAAAGAAATTAAAATGAACCATTTCCTTTTGTTTTAACAATCAGCCAAGACCAAGTCTACAGTATCTCTGCAGCTGTGCTGAAGTTTAACAGATGTATTGGGAAGAAAATGACCCTTACTGCTGAATATTCTCATTAAATCTTTTTTACTTGAGAAAGGGAACATCATATTCAGCATACTGGGTGAAATAAGGGGTGTCTGCAGGTCCTTAAAAAGTTAAAAGTCATTTAACAGTCTTAAAGTTGAATTCATGAGGTCTTAGTTACCATAAACATTTTATCTATTTTTCTTTATCCATATTTTAATTTATTTTTGTCAAAATGAGTCATCCTCTAATGCTTGAAAGTCCACTTACAAATGTTTCAACCCACCGTTTAACCTAATACTGTCTTTATACTTTACACTTTCACTTTCCAACTCGCTCTAACAACCATATCCCTACATAAAACCTGCCTCTGCACAGGACAACATACAAACAATACTTACTTACTTGCAGTGTCTGAATAAGAGGAAGATGGTTTGTCCAAAAATTTGCCTTAAATCTGGTTGAAATTCTCCTGAAAAGGTCTTAAAAAGTCTTAAATGTGTCTGATACCTGTCTACACCTTGAAACAGGACGATAATGTTTTTAAAAAACAAAAAGATACAGTAGTTTTGTGTCCGCTGCACATTACTTCCAAGAGGTTACAATATGTAACTGTAATATTTCACAATAAATTACATTATTATCACCTCACAGGCTTTTACTGTGGTTTATAACCAGATTCATTTTATTTTATTGTGAAATTACTGCAGGTAAATATAATAATTTCACCGCTAAATCACAGTGATCAAGTGTACAATGTGTGTCAGGGGAGTGTGTATTTAACTGGGTGGTACTTTTATATTATCTGTAAATACATTTGGGAATTTGTTGAAATACTTTACGAGTTAAAAGAAGAAATGTAAGGAAAGGATTCGGGACACTGTTAACTTTGTCTTGTTTGGTTTTTATCGTGTTATTCATTCATTCATTCATAAACTATGAAGTTACAGTTGAATTCAGTCATTTACAGGAGTGTACTGTTACATCACAGTAATGTAATGGGCTGTAACTGTGAGGTCACAGATAAATATAATTTTACAGGAGCTGTTAAACCTCAGTGATATGCAGGCAGTGACATCACAGTGTACAGCTGTCATTTCCCAATAACTTACTGTAACAATGACTCAGCAATTTACTGTGAGAGTGATGCAGCCAGTAATTTACTGTAAATGTACAGTCAGATATTTCACAGTGCAGCTCAGAGAGATAAAGAGGTGAGTCTGAAGCCTCTGTCATCTCTCAGCTGATCTGCATCCTTAAAATGACTCTCAGCATGTCCTCCTTATATCAAACTGGGGTTTGTTAAACGTCACACTGGCCTTCAGAGTGTCTGACATAGTGAACGTGCTGAGGTGAATCTGATCCTCTGACTGTTTCACAAAGCCTGAAGCTGCGTCCTGTGACAGTGACATGTTCTGCTCCTCCGTCCTGTGCACACGTAATCAGCGACAGAGTCGATTTCAACACGTCAGGCTGAGCTGGACTTGAGTCGTACTCTGACAGCCACACCTGCTCATGTACTGCGTAATGTTATATAATCCTGCTCTGCCCGTCAGGTCTTTCTAGGAAGTGAGCCAGCTGAGGGGCGGCTGAGGTCACGTCCCCCCTCGATCAAAGCTCAGTGAGCAGCAGAGACGCCACAGATCGGCCTGTTACTGTCTTCAAACAGTCGGCCTGCACTCTGTCAGGCTGCAGACGGCTGGGTGCGCTCAGATGTTTGTGTTGTTGGGCTGTAAACTCATCAAATGATATGAAGATCTGGTTTGTGGAAAACTGTAATTAAGATAAACAGCTGTTCTTCCTCATGATTATAATTACACCCGGGTGGAGGAAGGACTCAGATATGTTTTAAGTTAAATGAACAGAACCACAGAGCAGAAATACTCTGTGGCAAGATTTAAGATTCTACTTCAGTAAAAGTGCAAAAGAATTAGCATCAAAATAAAGTTAAAAAAATCAAAAGAACAGCTCATTTCAGAATCATGTCTGTTATATTACTGGAACATGATTATTGATGCATTAATGTGTTCATCACTTTAACATCACAGCTGGTTAATGTGGGGCTAATTTAATTTAATATCATCATTGATTTTTGATTAAAGATTCCATCCATCCATTTTCATCTGTTTATCTGAGACCATGTCACAGAGGCAGCAGGCTGAGCAAAGCACCCCAGACGTCCCTCTCCCCAGCAACGCTTCCCATCTCCTCCTGGAGGACCCCGAGGTGTTCCCAGGCCAGATGAGATATATAATCCCTCCAGTGTGTTCTGGGTCTGCCCCGGGGCCTCCTACCAGTGGGACGTGCCCGGAACACCTCTAACAGGAGGCGCCCAGGAGGATCCTGATCAGATGTTGAACCACCTCAACTTTCGATGTGAAGGAGCAGCAGCTCTACTCCGAGCTCCCTCTGGATGTCCGAGCTCCTCCCCCTATCTCTAAGGCTGAGCCCAGACACCCCATTTCATCCGCTTGTATCTGTGACCTCATAAGCCCCTTTTAAACAGCAGTTGTGCAAATTTGCAGGAAAGCCCAATCAGTGTTTTTTCAGCATTGGCAGTATAAAAACAAAATCAGGGAGTGCAGCAAAATGCCGCCTACCTACTTTTGTTTCTACAGAATGTGCCTTTTTCGGGGCAATGGGGGGCGTGAGCAAGTAACAAAACGTGTAGCTCAGCATGTGACGTAAACAGTGACGTGGGAGGGAAGCCGCGGCTGGTCAGTCCTTCGGCGATTCTCTC